AGATAAAAAAAAAAAAAAAAACACTTTTTTAGTATATTTTAATAATAATTGATGAAATATATGGTTTAAAAGTTGATAAAAGTTATGGATCTCATTAAATGTATAGTTAAAAATAAGTTTAAGGAAAAATGAATTTTAGAAAATGGGAGTAATCTCAAGTCAAATTTTAACAACATATTTCATTGAATTCACAAATTTTTAACCACATATTTCATCAATTTATATTAAGCATCTGTTTGTTGCTCATTAGTAAAAGAAAAAGAACCGTTAGAACAGTGGCTCTGCCTACCATTTTTGACCATTTGTGTCTAGTTGGGACCCACCAAATTTGAAAAACACAGTCCTATTTTTTCTATTAATGGGGAACTAAGTTGAAACAAACAGAGACTAAAATTTACTAAAAAATTGATTTTAGTATACATAAAACGGAGCTCAGCCTCTCTTTAGTAGAGATTAAAATCTAAATTTTAATTTAAGTTAAAATCAATAATTAATTTAAATTACGTATTTTATGAGATTCACAATTTTTAAACCACGTATTTCATTAAATTTATCAAAATATACTTTAAAAAATCTAATTTTAAACCCACCAAAACCTAAGGGACAAACTTTTAATGTTCAAATTCAATGCATTTAGGTTCCACTTTACATACCCACTTGCTTCAGCCATCATGATTGTCAACAAATAAGTTACCAAGACTCGACGGAGTTACTTGGGACGGTACAAAATTCTTTTTCGAGTCATGTTAGTTGTACATTCAATGCATTTAGGTTCCGCTCTACATGCCCACTTGCTTCAGCCATCATGACTGTCAACAAATAAGTTGCCAAGACTCTTAGGGCAATTAGACGGGTTACTTGGGACGGCTACAAAATTCTTTTTTGAGTCATGCTAATTGTACAATCGAGGTTGACAACCACTCACATGGAAGGTCCACTTTTTTTTTTTTTGTGAATTTTTTAAATATACGAACCCCGCACACACGTGAGAGATTGTCAACCGAGGTTGTCACAAATAAAATTTTCCTTCTTTTTTACAGATTAATTTTTCAAATGGTTCCTCATATCATTGGTCATATTTGAAGTTAATTATTTAATTACTGAAAATAAAAGAATAACACGACTTTATACCGTGCAGACCGTGTTAGAAAAGTCAAAGTCAATCTACACTTTCTATTTTCTACATTCATAATCAAATCTCTGACATTACAACGTGCTAGCATCTTCATCCTCCTCTCCCTATAAATTCCTTTTTTTCCCCTCACGGTTCCACCGAAAATAATCATTAATTCGTTTCTTAATCTTGAAATCACGTGAGTTCAAGAAATGGAAGAGAAGCCAGGACAGGCCAACCCTCCACCGCCATCCAATATGGAATCTGCAGAGGTGCAGTCGTCGGAGCTCCGCCGCAAGAACCGCCTCAAACTGGTTGTATACATTGCTCTCTTCATAGTTTTCCAAACCCTAGTCATAACAGCCTTTGATTTGATAGTAATGCGCATCAGACTGCCCAAATACAGAATTCACTCGATCAATATCGAAAATCTCAGCGTCAACAACTCCACAAATTCACCCTCCTTCAGCATGAAATTCAACACGCAAATCACTGTTAAGAACAGAAATTTTGGGCCATACAAATTTGAAAACAGTTATCTTACATTCTCGTTCAAGGGAATTCCTGTCGGAGAGGCAGTAATTTCAAGGTCAACTGCCAAGTTTTTTTCGACAAAAAAGATGAAGATTTCTTTGAACGTTGATTCTGAATCTGTATCGAGAAATTCGAGTTTAGGTAGGGAGATTTCTTCCGAGAGATTGGAATTTAATGGGGTTTCCAATTTGAGAGGACAGGTAGAGTTGCTGAAGGTGCTCAAAAAGAACAAAGCTGCAAAAATGAATTGCAGCATCATAATTGATTTAGCAAAAAAAGTAGTTCAAGAATTAAGATGTGACTGAAATTTCGGTTTTCGAATTCTATTCGGCATAAATATTTATTACATTGTGATTCTTCCTCGTTAGAGAGAGGTGCAATGGAATTTTTTTTACAGTGTGTACATTTCTTCTAGGAGTTTGATGATTATTTATGATACATTCATTTCTCTGTCTCACGAACATAATGAATTCGTCTTTTAATTTTTCAGCGCGTGATGGCAAAAGAATTTCTATAAATGTAGAGAAGAGATCGAGCCAGTCTTGGACGCACTCGATTTTGAGATGACTTTTGCTTGTCATGTAAGCCCGTAAAATAATTTTTTTCCCCTGAATTTCTCCCCTACGACCAAAGGAAAATCGAACCCAAGTCACTAACATGGTAAGACTTCGCTCTTACCACTTCAGCTATGTCTTGATCTCGCTCGTACAATAATTTACTATTTAGCATGATCTTAGAGAAATGGTAAGAAGAAGACTAAAAGGAAGGGTGGAGTGTCATCTCTCCATTAGCGGCACCAATTGAGGAGCCCTTATCGGCATATTCAGCTGCCAAAATCTCCACAGGAAATATACATGTGCCGGTTGATGGATTCCGGAACTATCTTACGCAATACCTAAATGAAACTGTGTAGTCGGCCCTCTATAATGGCCTAAAGTTTTTAGACGAGATTGTTCACAATACCCGTTTTGACTAAATCCAGATGGCTAGAGGATCCCCCGGCATCAGGCTTGAGCAATCTCCTTGGCACACGCTGTTTCAAATGCATGTTTCACCTTTGACCTTCAATACTTAAACATCGTTTTCGACAAGTAAATTTATGATTTTGATGTTCTCACGGAGGATAACACGAATCTACTTTGATCTTCCAAAATGACGGAACGGGGACCACTAAAAAATTATGCCAAAGCAGCTCCATATACAAGGCATTCTCCAACAACAAATTCATGCAGGCTCTCATTAGGGAATGAAATTGTTAGGTCAATTCCGGTCCTGAGAAGGCCTTCATGGCATTTACCGGGGAACTCTAAATTTTAAAGTTTGTAATTCTATTTTGGAAAAACAAATCTATCACCGTGGATGGAATCAGTGACTGTGAGGTCATCCTGCCCCAATTAACGCCTATTAAACCTTCTAAAACGTTGCCTGAAAACAGAAACAATGCAATCATCATTAAAGCCAATAAAGGATTCAGTTTCGGTCATTAAGGGTCTTCAGAAAATCCCAGGATGATGATGAAAAAACCATAATTCATGAGAAGATCTGGTTCATCTAGGAGATTCATTAGAGGTTTTGTTTGTTTGTTTTGATGGGGTAATAAAGTACATATCGTATGCATACATTTCTATTTCGGACCTGTTGTTTATCCCTTGACTAGACTAATTAATGTTAGTTATGTGCTGGAAAAAAGACATCTATCCAACCAACATCAAACTACCCGAAAAGTCGGCAAGCTAAAATTTTGTTTGAGCAATCAGCTAATGTCGTGGTTATCCCTGTCGTCTGTTTGTCCTCTTTGTCACTTAACCGACTGCAATAGGAGAAAAAATCGTCTTAAAAAATATTTCACTATAGCAGCACATAAACCTATAAACAATTTGTTGTAAGGCAACTTTACGCTCTAAATCCAAACATTCATTATTAGCAAAATTACACGCATTTGGGAATCCTACTTTTTACCCTAACCGTGAAGAACGTCATAACTCTAAAATTTCGCATGAACGAGTGTTGAACTTGGTGGCAAAAATACAAACTTCGGACAATAGAGATTCCAAAATAGCATAATTGAGTAATTTTACTAGAGGATAGAGGTTGGAGAGGCCATTGTTCCAAGGGCAAGGGAAAAAGTGAGGTCGACTAAGAAATTTCATGGGTTTGTAGAACTGAGTTGGAGGAGCAATTTCTGGAACAAATCAGAACTGAGAAATAATCTTAGTTCTGAGGTTTACATTCCATGAATTGCAGTGTGGGTGGCATTAAATAGAAAGATTTTCGTGGCATTGATGTCCAATGAATAGACAATCTAGTTTAAATACCATCTTCAAGTCTTCAACGGTTCCGTCTAGGGATGGCAAAAAAGCTCGTCGGCTCGGGTTCGACCCGAAAAAAGCCCTAACCGAATTAATAAAAAAAATTAAAATTAATTAAAAAAAATTTAAAAGCTGCCTACAGGCAGCTAAGGAAGAAAAAAAAATAAAATAAAAAATCGAGCCGACTCGGCTCGGCTCGGGCCCGAAAAAAGCTCGGCCAAAAAAGCTCGAGCCGAGCCCGAGCTCATTTTTTCGGCCCGACTCAGTTCGTTGACATAGCGAGTTCCGCTAATAATTAAAATTTCATTTCTAATGTATCCCTACTATAATAAAAGAGCGAATCCGCCGGGTACTATTCATTTTGAAACATTTTAGTTTCCCTAATTACCCCTCTACCTACTGTTCATTCC